GGCCCGAGCCGCGGCGCACGCCGAGCGCAGCTGCCTCTGCTCCGCCTGCCTGCCGCATTCACACGCGCTCGCTTCCTCTCGTACCGGCACACACCGTACAGTTACCTGTTTGCTCCTCACGAACAGGGAACAGGTATTTTTTTGTTGAGCCACTTGATCACAAACCACTGTTTGCTTTTCTACCAGCACAGAAAGTGTCTGAAAGCCCCCTTAAACACCTTTTCTGTTTCTGTTAATAACATTGTATTTTCTTTAGAACATATGGAAGCTTATAAAACTTGGAGAAAACAAAAGCAACAACAACAAACTCCCACATCATCCAACATGCTTAACGGCAAAGCTCTCCCATTTTCCCCTGGAACCAAGGTAGGCTGTGCTTGAACCACTGTAGTGGCAAGCTGCGTTTGTGTTCAGGTGTCGGAGCTCTCATTTCAGAGTTCAGGTGCAATGCAACAGAAAACTCATGACCACTTACGCTAGAAATGTTATACTAATTCCACTCTTATCTAGAGAGTATCTTTCTTTTTGTCTTACCTTTTGAAGTCCTTTCTTAGGGGCGTTCCCCCAGGAATTGCAGGAGGAGCTGCTCTCTTGTGAAGCAGTATTATTCCACATATCTCCTTCTTCATCTTCCCACTGACTAGTACTGAGATTCACTTCATCCCCACCACTGCCCCAGCCTTCTTGCATAGATTTTGAAGCTGGACAGAAAGAGGGAGAAGAAAAATCTTACTCAATTTCCTGCAAATTTTATAGAAATATCCATTTATGCCATATCCAGTATGCTAACATTTGAGTATTTTCAAGTGATACAGAGGTTTACTGTAGCTTAATTGCCATTAAATAATAAGGACACCTTTGAAGCTAGCAAAAACGAAGAAGTTCTCTAAATACTTTATAGAAGAAGCAGTCCAGCAACAGCAAGTCTTGCTCTTTCCTCAACAAGTAAGATCTGTGGTCATGGTCATCCCAGTCTCCTAGGAACAAGGAACCAAAAGTACGACCACACACTTGGTCAGTGCTATTTTGCTTTCAATGAGTCTCACCATTTTAGCTGCCACATTCTTCCAGATGAACAAAACCAAATCTTGAGGTCATTAATGGTCAGAAACTCATTCCCACCTCAGAAGAACAGAATCTGAAAGCAGCACATGGGCTGCAGGGAAACACTTCACATTGAGCGACGAGGTTGTGCCACTTCGTTCCGTTTTATTGTGTTTGCTCTGTTGAAAGCTGGGATCACTCATCTTCCGACCTCTCACTCCTCTTCTCAGGTTTTCTGGGCCTTCTAACTATCTCTCAGTACAGTATTTCGCAGGAGTGAAACTTAAAAGACTTCCACAGCCAAACCAGAAGTCTAAAACAGGGACCGTAGCCTTCAGGGCATTTAGAGATGGAGGATTTTTATCAAATAACACTGGTTAGGAATCGTGAAGCAGTACGTAGCTGAGGACATTCCTGAACCCGCGAACAGTTTTAACAGCCGAAGGAGATACCCACTCCCTCAGTTCACCCCAACAGGGAGGTCACGACCAGTCGCTCTCACGCCTTGCTTCTCCTACCAGCATCCATCCTATCGTGACTGAGCTCAGTTGCTCCTCGTCCCGGTACAGGTTTCTTTGAGGCACCTAGGGCTGAGTACTGCTCACATTCCTCTGCAGCTGCAGTTTCCTGCGTCTCTACCACACTGCTTTTGAAGTACACAGAAACACTCTTAAGGAATACTTAAATTTACTGATATTCGTATTTTTGTATGAATCTGGTATCTGGAATATCAACGAGAATGGAATCATTGAAGTCAGAGACTGTCTTAATACACAGAACACCAGCAATGCTGTTTCAAACCCGCGGCAGAAAGCAGCGCGCTCTGCCTTCGCCCCGCCAGCCTCCTCCCCCCGTGCCCTCCACGCCCGCACCTGGTTTGCACAGTGCTGGGGCAGCAGCCGGAGCGTCTGTCCGTCGGTAGGCCGCCCGTCCCACTGCTGGGGGGCTTCCCCCAGGCCGAAGTGCCGTTATCAACTGCAGCGGAGGGGGAGGACGGCTCTCCCCAAGAAGCTTCGGTCTTTGTGTGGACAGTAGGCATTTCTCCCCAGCCTGCTGAAGCAAGGGGAAGGAGAGAAGAACAGTGATGAGAGGCACGGTTTCTTCTGTCAACAAAGATGGACGTTTTACTGAAGCCTTTGTCTGGGAAGAGCATGCACGAACCAGTAAGGAGACACAGTGACTCTAACTAAGCATCTAAAAAGATCCCTTTGATTTGGTCTCAAACGTCTTTTTCTTGATTAAATCCTAATGCCACGTCGTCACGACAGGAGGAGTATTTTCCGACACAGCCAGGCGCAGTCGGGCTGCCAGGGAGCACCGGCTTCCAGCGGGATGTGGCCGAGCGGACAGGCAGGGCTCGGAGCACACGCAGCAGTGCCAGCGTCCAGGAGGTGACGACCCAAATCCCAGTTGGGCCTTGTTTCACTGAAAGACTGTAAGTTATTTTAATTCCTTTGAACTATTACAGGTTATCAAATCTCTGTTCTCTTGCCCTATGAGTAAGATGACATTTGTTTGTTACCACTGTCAATGTACATCATGAATGTTGTAGGCACTCCTTAGAGCTTTTAGCACAGCTCGTGGTTGACTGTGTTCCCTACGTGCCCCTTCATCACCGGGTCTCTACATTACAATAAAAATGATTTTTAAAGAGAACAAGACAAGACTGCAATTAGCATCTGTAGCCAAATCACACCGGACGGCAGGCAGAAGTCACTGTTTTCCTACAGAGTATTATTTTACCTCACTGAAAAATGTAAGCTACTATAAAGAAACTGTCTTGGTCTGGCTCGGTGTGAACGTCACGCACTTAAATCCCTCTGACACCGATTCTAGCACCGAAGTCAAACGCACCAGGAACAGCCACATCGCTTCTAAGTCCTGAAGAGCAACACCAACCAACACAGCAAAAGCGTTGATGGAATCTAAAATGTCCGCTACCTCTCAAAAAGCTTTTTTTCTGAAGAGACACATTCAGATCACAGATAGAGCTCAACATACTTTGAAAAAGTACACAAAAGAGCCAGACATACCAGACAAAAAAGCAGAGTTCTTACATACACCTGATATTAACCTGTTTTTCTACAACTCTCACCAAAAGCATTATACATCGCATGACAGCCAAGATCCCAAAAAGCAGAGTTCAGCGTGCTTAAAACTTCTACAATCGTGCTGCTAATTCAACAACCTGCCCGCTCTTCATTGGAAATTAACACTATTAAGTACGGGTATTTTATGCTGATTAACTATCGCCCTGCCAAATCTGTAACTTCTAGCAGCTCACAATATGGAAACAGAGTTGGTAAGAAAGAAACTTAGTTTTGCTACTCCCTGAAAAAGTGTATCATTACTAACAGATTTTCATAATTTAAGGACTAGATGCCTACTTTGCCGCAGCACTATGCCTTCTTTGCTCCCCGGTGCTACCTGCAAAAATACTCTGGAAAGGTTTCAAAGCGCAGAAACGTAACATATCCTGCAGGAACGGACACCTGGAGTAGGTGGAAAACGGCAAGGAAGTCGCCACAAAAGAGCTTTATTTAAGAGGACCTTGCAATATATTAAACTAGCTCGACAATAGTGTTACACTGAGCAACAACTCTAGCAGACTTCTCACGAGAGGTCTTTGCAGAACTTACTGATTTCAACAGAATTTCTGTTACTAGAAACTGCAGGCAACATATGTCACCAACAGTAACTCTAACACTGGTTAGCAGCGAAAAAAATTCCTTCCAACGAGACGGGCTCACGTCTGCCCGGCACCCCAGGGTTACCACGTTACGTACTTCCTTCAGGCTCTGCTTCTTACAGCAGCTGCAGTTCTCTCAGGCACTGGCAAACGTGCATCTGCCACACAACATACCCAAACCCAGCCTGCACCTTCACGACACGCGGCTTAATAAAGCGCCTTCACTGCCAGCGAGGTTTCTTGTGTTTTAAAACACACGCCCGAAGCAACCCAAAATCTCTGTTTCATTAAATTGGTTTCCATCTGAAACACAAACGCTGCGTTCTAAGCTCTGTCACCGCACCTGCAATTTCTGGTTACTTTAAAGTGTGTACAGAAGACAGACTCGCAGACACACACGCTCGTACGCACAGAAATGAACCTCTGCTTAACGTGACAACTTCCTTGGTGTTGCACCTTAAAATTCTTCTTCTGGCTTTCTGCCGACGCCATTTCATTTGAGCTTCTGCCTCACCACTCGGGAGGCAACCTCGTCAGACAACTGCGTGTACTTAACCACACTGGCATCTGAAAACAATTCACTGCAGGCAAATTGAACAGAAAACAAAACATCTTGAAAGCAACAACTAGAATACAAATAGAGTGCAGAACACTAATATTTCCCAGACTTCATGCAACCTCGGAAACTCCACATAATTCCATTTATGAATTCAACCTTAAAACCCTCTTCATATACTGAAAAGGCAGCGTGTGCTATGTTGTAGAATAAAAACCCCAAAGAACTGGTCCTTCGGTTGCTCTTTACTATAAATTCAACAACATTTGATTACAGACTGCAGACGTGTAAAGTCCAAGTTATTTTAAGTGCTTCAAATGCGCTGAGCAGTGACACGGGATGACAAACAAGGAGGGAGCCAGCCTTTACTAAAAGAGAATACCTGCAAGTACATCAAAGCAAACAAAATGAATCAACTAAAAGTTTTCAAAGCTATCTCAAGAGACCAAATTAAGGGCAGAAATTCAGTACATACAATCTGAAGGCTGGAGAAGTAACTTCCGCCCTGCAAAAATTCACCTGCGGATCAACTCCAGAGCACTTGGACCCCAAGCCTGCCTTCCCCGCTGTGCCCAGTACCCGCGGCCTCAACGCTACGGGCTCCGTGCTACCGTTTCCTGACTCCACGTGACCCTCTCGAAAACTTCAAAAGGTGAATAAAGTTACATTTTTGAATGAATGATGCAAAATTCTACCGGTGAACGAAGAAATTTACTTGGTCTTCTCCACAAGACTCTTTTTTAAACAAGGTATTTCCTCAATCTTTAAAAGAACCCGGTATGCTCCAGCTTCGGACCAGACGTAGGCAGGGCAGGAGCCCCACGGGTCTGCGGTCCCAGCAGCGTGCCCATGGCCACGTGCCCATGGCCGCCTGCCCATGGCCGCCACGCAGCCCCGGCCCCGGCAGCTCCCCAGCGGCCCCGCACCGGGTCCAACGGCCGCAGAGAGCTGCTTCTCGCTTCCTGGGCGCTGCTGTTTGGAAGGAAAACGCCTTCACAGCGCCTCAAACTCTGAACCTGCCTAACGTTTTCAAAAACTCACTGTTTCCTTGATGAAAATAACAGGCATTTAGGCTTTCCTGAGAAAGCTCCGTGCCTTAAAAAACTCCCAGATCGGCACGAATGCTGTTTCACAACAGAATGGGCTCCAGGAAAGGCTTCTTTGGCGAGAAAGCGAGGTTTTAATACTGAAGTTTTTAAACATTGTTAGAACTGCAAGAACCAAAAAGATCACAGCGAGTAACAAACACGGACACGTTGGCAGAGCTTTGTTTTATAGCAATAAAACCATGATTAACACGGGGCCACAGCCAACAGGAAACCCTCAAGGGAAAGTGAAGCGGTCGCTCCACTGCGGCAGGACGCGGTTGTTCCCCTCAAAATAACCCTGGGGCCATTTGGATGGCAGCACTTGTTTTCCTTGAAGTTGTTTGGTCTGTGATAAATACCAGAGCGTATGAGTGCAATCCAGGCAAACCAAAATATGAGAACCTTATGTAGATGAAAAAGGAAGAAATGAGGTAGAAAAATGAGATTGTTTACTTAACAGTCACTAGTTAATCTGTTAAAAAAAGAAAAGAACTGAGCTGGGGGGGGGGGTGTAAAGGGGAGGGTTACACGCATTTTTAAGAGTCACCTGTAACCCTCAACCTGTCAGGTCTTGATTTTCTGGAAGGTATTCCAGTTCAGGCGGTTACACGTCAATCAGCAGCTCTCCGACTGCACACACACATTACTTCAAAGAACTCCTTCCTCTGCTACCACCCGCTCTCCAGAAGCGTCACTGTACAGCAACACCAGCTTTTAAATCCCGTTTTCCAAAGCGGAAGGACTTGCAGGAGTAAGTTTTGCTCTGCGAGGGGTTAGGTTATTTGCACAGCATTAACACCCACTGCTGCAGATGAACAGTTTTACAGGCGCAGAGGCAACCATCTAAAAATCAGCTTAACGAAAAAAAACCCACCCAAAACTTCCCCCACCCAATCAAACAAAACCCCACTTTCATGATAGCTCCGCTACAATTCAGAAATTTGCACTGTCAGTTTCATGGGCAAAGTTTAAAATACGGATGAAATAATTTCAAGGTACATGAATTATAGATGCTGTATGTTGGACTGACCAAGTACAACCCTATTTAAAGACTTCTCCTTCTGGAGCACATGTTGTTTTATTAAAATGGATACTCTCCACTGTTCAAATATTTGACCAGAGGAGGGAACATGAGACTATTTTTACACAGACATTACAGTAAGTTTGAATTATTTGAAAACGTCAAAAAGAAAAACGATGGAAATAAGAGAAGTAGTCCAAGTCCCACCTGGAGAAAAACACGATTAAAAAGTCAGTATTTAGCCACGACCAAGACAAAACAAAAACTTGGGAGACAAAAATCAGATGAAGAATTTCAAAGAGCATCACAAGTTTAGATTTATTCTGAGAAGTCTGCGGTCATGATATAGAGCAAGGCCGCTAGTACCTCTTATTTAAATACCTCCCCCCTAAGCATTTTTCTCATTTTTTTCTCCAGTTTTATCCCTTGCTGCTTGTCTACAACAGTACCTTGTCTTCGATTAGAAAAATTCCCTACAAACTTGTCCTTGGAACACAGCTGAAGCTGGAGTCACTTTTCCCAGCCGCCCTGAACATTCACATCTTTAACCAAGGCAGCTTTATGAGAATCACATAAAGTCCGGGATACCACCCATGCTTGAGAGCCGAAGCACGGGAGAGAACCGCTTCTTCATAAAAGACAACAGAAGACAGAGAAACAGCAACAGCCTCGACTCCTGCAACCGCTGCATCTGTTGCCAGGACATGGTTGGCAGAGAAGAAACAGATGCGTGCTGTCCGAACAAGAACAGAGAGCAAGCCACGGTAACACGAGACAAGTGAGAGGAAGAAGACTCCAAACTCTCAAATGGCTGAATTAAAAGAAAGTGCTAAGTAACTGCGGAAGACCTGAAGGAATAAATACAGATCAACAGCCCAAGGATCTGGGGCGTGATTGACTGGGTGTTGTTGGAGGCCCTTCTTACATTCACCTGGGCGGTGGAAGCTTGTGGGTCAGGTTCCATGGGCTCTGCCGTCAAGGCAAGAACTTCACGCTTGCTTCAGAGTAAATGAATAGACTTACTCTACAACTTAAACACTGGATTTCTACCTTCAGTGTGTAACTACACGCTGAACAGGCCAGACACCACTCAGTAACTGGTACTGATATCAAGTATCTTATAAAACTATTACCATACCTGGACCAAGCAGCGGGGACCGGTTCGGCTGGGCACTTGACTGGTGCGACGGCTGAGGTTCAACCATATTTGTGTTGATAATGGTGCTAGTGGTGGTGGTATTGGTTGTGGTACTGCTCTGAATTATAGGATTATTTCTGTCCCACATGTTTACAGTCTTGTTGTTGTTGTAATTTGGGTCGCCCCAAGCTGAGGTACCGTCATCGATTTCCATCTTGCGGCGAATGGACGGTGGAGATGGCTCTTCCCAGCCAGTTGCCTCACAGTTCTCTTTTTGTTTGGCTGGCACTGGCCCACCAACCCACCCTGACCCCGTCTGTTTTACAGAAGCAGCTCCTCCCCAGTTACTCACATTGTTGTCCTGGGGTTTATTAGCCCAGTTTTGTTGGGGGCCTGGCTTTAAAGATTCCCCCCAACTTGTACCTGTATTAGCCTTGCTGTTTGTGCCGTTTCCCCACCCACTGGTCCCAGACCTCGTGGAATCATTCCAGCCAGACCCTGACCTATTGTCAGAATCCCATCCAGATCCATTCTTCTTCCCATCACCCAAGTGTCCAGGAACAGACGATGAATCTGTCCAGTCTCCACCTCCTGAAGTCCAGCTTGGATTTGATTTCTGTCCATCTCCCCAGTTTTGAGATTTGGGTTTCTGAGGTTCACCCCAGGTAGGTGATTTGTCCTCCTGATTCGCGGTCCCACTCCACGCGTGGCCGCTTTTGGCAGCAGCAGCATTATTAACAGTAGTAGAGCTTGCTGACTCTCCCCATCCCCCTGGGCCATTTGGTGCTTTGTTGTTGTTGTCTCCCCAACCTGTATTTGTTGGAACAGCTGCCGGCGGAGAGTTGACCCACCCAGATACTGAAGAGGTATTTGTACTGTTCATGATGGACCCATCGTTCTTCCCCCCTGAGTTTGAAGATTGAGTAGCTGCACAACCCCAGGCCTCTGTTCCATTGTCATTCTTTCGTTCAGACCTTGGGGACTCTTCAAATTCCCAGGCAGTGTTCTGCTTTACAGGGGTCTGTCCCCACCCCGTATTGGACAGGACCCTGGGGTCAAGGTCATTTCTTGGCAACTGAACTTGCCCTTGGTCTATCATCCCTTTGTCTCTCCTCCTGCCCTCTCCAGCCCCCTCCCTCCCAGTACTGCCTTCATTTTGACTCCCACCGCTGTCGTTACTTCCTTCGCTAGCTGTGGTGCCGGACGCTGCAGCTTTGGCCCAAGAGTTCATTTGTTCATTGCCCTGCTGCGCGGCAGGATTTGGACTGGTAACACTAGAGCTATCCCACCCTGTTGATCCTTTCCCATTGATGTCGCTATTGGAATGCTGGTTTGGGGGCTTGCCCCATTCACCGTTCACACCGTTGCTGGTGTTACGGCTGGGGTGGCCCCAAGCTCCAGAATGCACACTGCCAACACCGCCGTTGCCACCGCCCCTGCCCCACGCCAGTACCCCAGGACCCGAAGGAGGCCCCGAATCCCACGCGCTCGCTCCGTTCCCTTCCTTTTGCACAGCGCTGCTGGATCCATTTTGTTTAGCACTTAATGCTGAGTTCACAGTGTCTCCATTCCCCTGACTGAACCCAGAATTGCTGTTTCCTGTGGCAGGATTACCTGGGGACATCCCCCACACTGAACTGCCCATTCCTTCACCACTGCCCCCGCTGACTTGAGAAACCGATGTTCCGTTAGCACCAGGAAGGCCTTGCAGGTGGGGCGGGATGATGGCCCCCATACCGACAGCCATCCCCCAGTTCGGCAGTCCATTTGTCTGCATTGCATTGATAGGGTTTGGTGAAGAGTTCATGGGGTTAGTGTTATTTGGTCCATCAGTGTTAAGGTTCTGAGGTTGTACGCTGAAAGACACATTCTGAGAAGTGGACGTTTGTGGTTCTGTGCTCTCTTGCGGCAGCAAGTTTCCCCAGGCACCCAAGGTGCCTGTTGGGTTCCCATTCTGGTTGCCCATGTTCTGACCTATGGCACTGACTGGACTGCAAATACTGGAAGGGTTGCCTGCTCCCACAGTTCCTTCATGTCCAAGCACAGGCCAGGCAGCTGGATTGGCATTAGGGTTAAGGTTAAGATTAATGCCAGCATTCGAGTTGGAAGCACCCCAGCAGTTCTGACTCCTACCATCTCCCATCATGTTGTCCATCTTTCCATCCCCACCGCTGGCAGAGCAGTGTGCTAGGCCCGAGCCGGAGCCGGCAGCCACCCCCCCACCCCGGGCTAGGCTCGCGTCGAGTGCTCCGTTGGCGCCATTATTGCCATTAGTTTTCTTTGTATGTCCAGTGAAGTTGCCTTGGGCACTCCCTGTAGCCATGCTACTGTTCTCTGAGCCACAGTTGGAGGCAGAGTCAGTGTCTGTAGTACATTCTGAGGCAGACTCAGTCTCGGCTCCGGTAATGGAAGGCCACGCTTCCTTGTCAGTCCTGTCTATTATCACTTTATCCCAGCTGCAGTTGCCTTCACTCCTGAAAGCGGGCTGCTGTCCCCAGTGGGAATTCTCATAATGGTCTCCCAATCCACCGTGGCTGAGATCTGAAAGGATCCAACAAGGTTAAAAATGAGTCCACTGTTCAAGCACTGCAAAAGCCCTCTATTAAGCGCTATTTTACATTGCTAGTCACAACACCGTGCTCTGCTAGAATTTAGAGTACATTCTCTAGCATAATGCAGCGATTTTCCTGACCACAATAAAGCACGATGCTTTAGTTTGGTTTTTCTAATCTGGCAAAACTTTCAATTAAAATAATGAAACAATTCCGTTTTTGAACAGAGCAACACAAGTATTTTGTATCCCTAGTATACCAGTAAAAATAATAAGCAGGCAATAAACAAGGATAGCAAATACACTCATCTATGTGGAAAATCTAAAAAGCAAATTAGGAAAAAATGCAGAAGAATATCTAGGAGACTCTTACCATTTACTTTGACTCTATTCTCATTCTTCAGGGAAACACAAAGGAAAAGCAGCCAACAAAACATGTGAAATGTCTGCCTGCCATGACATATTACATATACACCCAGATCACACGCAACACGCTGAATTCATACTGCATTTAGCTTTTCAACCCTTCCTGGAAATAAAGGAACAAATACGGACAGCCACCTTCACTATTCGGTGTCAATTCTACGTTTAAACACCACTACTGTAACCTACATTTTAGCAAAGAACTCAGCTATTTCTAAAGAACAGTAAAATTTGGTCAAGAAACTTGTCTCTTACGGGATTTACACGTGGTTTAAACATTCCTTTGCACTCGCACACAGAGCCCAGTCCCCCCGGCACGGAGATCGCCGTTACGACGCGCAGGCACTCAGCAGCCAGATGGTCTCCGCAGGGCACCTCCCGCCCCCTCAAACACGTTCACATCCAAAAAATTCAACAGAAGCTCTTGAGCATCTCACTGTCTGCTAGGTCCGAAGCAGAACTGGAAGAAACAACACTTCTCATGCTAAGAGCTCCAGCTTGGACAGAGTCTTTGCGTTCACTTTCTATTGCCGTTGCTCTCTACAAGATTTCTAGAACAGAGTACTCCTTCTACTTTCTTTTGATGGGAATTCTACAGCAAGTAATTCTGTCTGATCCTAGGGGTATGTACTGGGGATCATCTGCAAAACAGTTCCCCCTACCTGGTGGTCTATGTAAGGGAGCAAACAGCATAGACGCAAGTTAGAATTTTTGGATGTGAAATGATTTTTACTTGCTGTAAATCTGCAGAAGCTTGACTTTAATTTTTTATGGTTTGAGTAAGGAGAATACTTGGTGGGGAAGATGAATGCAACAAGCCTCCCAAATAAGCTGTTAACAGTGGATGTCTAATATGCATTAATTTAAATCACAAATATTTTGGTGTGATTAGCTCTCCTAACTGCCTCCAATTAGAGATGTTCTAATACTGCAAAACCAATTAATTTTTATTCCAAGAATACAAAAAAGCTCTCTCTCTTTGCCAAAGTCGTCTTCTTCACACGTTTCACCTACAGCTTTTCAAGAAAGGGGGGCTATTACCTGGTTGCTTCATGAAGATTTATCTAGATGAGGGCACAACACTAAACCAGGACAGACTGCACCTTTCCTTTTTTCTTTTCTTTTTTTTTTTTTTTGTACTTTAACTAACTGAAGCAGAAGTATGAATGCTAGAGAAAGGAAGGGAAAACCACCTTAGCTCATCACCTGTCTTCTCATGATGCCAGCAAAAGCCCAGCATCTCAGAGCAAGAGCTAAATAACTGGAGTGTGTAGGACAAATCCAAGCGAGAATGTGCAAGGAGTCGCTTGGATTTACCTGGGTTCTGCCCCCCACGTGCAATGGCTGGAATGGAAGAAAGCATCACGGTATTCCCGGATAAAGCCGACCGGTTACAGTACAGAGCTAAGGGAGAAGGCTGAAAATTTACCTGCTAATCGAGGTTTGCTACACAGGTGTTAAACAGAGATCAGAACCCAGATAAGACACAGCAGGGAAAGGAACCTGTGAAATGACTTAAAAAGGGTCAACAGGGTCAGAAAAATGAGCCAAGCAGCATTCTTAGCAGAGCAGGAAAGCAGGAATGAACAAAGTCAAAAAGCAGCAGCAGCCCAGGCCAGAAGATAAGAAGTTGAGGCAACCAAGGAATCGGGTAAGAGGAGCTCTGTGAGTTTTTTCAGCACTGTGGGTGGCGAGATTCGGCACTGCATTTCAGATGTGACAGAAAGGTTTAAAAGTGGCTTGAAACACACTGTTCCGATAAAAAGGTCTTGTCAAAGCCGCAACCTAAGCTACACGTGCGAGTGCCTAGGAGAACGATGGTGCTGCCCAAGGCAAGCAAGGGGGTCTGTGCGGGGCAGGGTTGTGAAGAAGGATCAAAAGCACAGCGCTAGACAGCTTAATACTCACAAAAATGGCACCAAGACCAACCAGGTGAGATAAAAACGTTTAATAATTCCTTTTTCTTGCTCCTCTCCCTCAAAGATGCTGGTTAAAGCACCGCTCAAGTTTGAGAGCACGTCAGAGACAGAAGGGAAAGGGAAGGGGTGGGAATGGAAGAGGAAGATGACAAAAGGGCTTAGAAAGATTCCTAAGAGTAGGAAGCAAACCGGTTCATTAAATAAGATACCAGGATTTTGAAGAGCAGTCAGAGAAACAAGAAGAAAAAAAGTTATGAGGGGCAAGAACGATAAAAACCTGGAGCTGTCCCCATTATAAGCAGGAATCGGCCAGGTGCCTCTGCCCGGGCCAGCGCCCCTACCGCAGGCAGTACCACCCCCCGCGGGTTCGGCTTGGATTGAGGGACCGCGACCACTGCCCGGAGGTGGCACGGACTCGGCAACCCCCCTCGAGCAGCAGTGGGACCACGCGGGTGCCCTGCACAAGTCACGGATTCCAAAACAGAGCAAAAAGAGACGGGCGATGCCGTCAGAGTGTCCCAGTATTTACCGGAACAAGCGGATCCAACACCAGCGACCGCCTCCACAAAGCTGGTAGGAAACAGGACAGATAACAGGAGTGGAAAAAACATTTCACAAAGTAAACAGAAAGCTGCAAACTGTGACTCTGCTGCCGGGCAAACGTAACAGTTTGAGTACAGAACTGATCCTGGAGAGAGTAATTTTTATATTCTTGTCTCTAGAAGCAAATACCCGAAAGACATTTTTCCATTTTCTCTAGACTAAAAGGAGTTCAATCCCATACATTAAATAACTAGTAGCATAGCCCTACTTAACTCATAAGGACTTTAAACATTTGGGAAAGAAAACAAGGGCAAAATATTTTTTTTATTATTAAATCTAGAGGTTCTCTTGTTTGGAGCTTTTCTTGAACACACGGATTTCCTCCAACCTTCTAGGAAACCAACTCTTCATAGAAATTGCCAGTAATTTCTTTTCAAAGCTGTTAAAGACTGAAATGGGAAAGCCAATTAAAAAGTTCTTAAGAATCAGTTCCTCTATTTAAGCAAAGATCAGAAATAAAAGCAATGCGGTCCACCAGAAGGATTCCTCTCTCCCCTCTGCGAACTGAGCAAACGCTTCAAGCCGCGCATGAGGAACAGGAACCACAGGTATTCTGTGTCAGCAAACCCTAGTGCTGGTACACCGCAAAGGGAAATTGATTTTTAAATTGATACTTTGTGTTATAAAATCTGAATTATAAAATTTGCTTCCCTTGATTAACAAGATTTCTTCAGCAATCACAAAGGGAAAATTAATCTGAAGATAACAGCTCAAATTGGTTTGAAACAAGCAGACAACTTCTGTCCAGCTGCAGTCCCGCACGGCACCCCAGACACGCACAGCTTTGCTCAGCGCTACCAGCAGCGCGACGGCTTTGGCTTGGTTTGAGCAGTGTCCTTAAGGGGGTGGGAGGAGACTGCTGGTGGTGTCACACATGGTACCCAACAAACATCACCAAGTTCGATTCAGTACTTATTAAACATAGGAAACATTTTTGGCTGTGTTTGATAATGGAAATGAATAATCCGCTGCAAAATCAGTTTCCTGTTTCTACAGATTACGTATGTAAGGTGTGAGTACAGCGACAGGAGAAGCTGTTGCATGCGTTGCTTAGCAAAGCCAAATACTTTGCCTGCACAAGCAATTTACCCAAAACTTCAATGCTCCTCTCAAAATGTCATTTACAGTAATATTTCTTATTATTTTTATCCGAGTTAAAAGTAACTCTAGCTTCCTAACTTCCATTACAGTAATTAGTCTGAGCGCTGCGCAGCAGGATTACGCCTCCCCAGCCGTACTGTAACATTCAGCTGATCTGGGAACCGCAGTACGGGGAGGGTGCAAAATGGCAGCACCAGGACACACTTCTAATGAGAACCATATTATTAGTAAGTTTTGCTCATTGAATTTTAAATGGGATCTAATAGTGGCTCCCTCCCTTACTACTATATTTATTTTTCAATCCTCGTTAGCGTAACAACCACCAGACTCCTCGGCTCGCCCTGTCCTGCCCAAAGGACAGATCAGATGGCGTTGCTCTCCGCTCCGACACGCAGAACCCAGAACCCCCCCAGGGCAGGGGGCAGGGACAGCCCCGCTGGGGACTTCACTTGTCCCACAGAGCTCAGCGATCCCCAGCAGAACCTTGAGAAAAAAGCACAAATTACTTTCTCCTCCCCAAAGCAACCGTATTCAGTGCAACATGAGCAGATCTTTTTAAAAGACCATACATGAATTTTTCTAAGTCTAAATTAAACAGGAATTGCCAGAAACATTTTAAGTGCTAGATCAAATGTAGCCTAATTTCATAAAAGAAAAAGAAAAGATGACACAAGCGTCTATTCCGAAGCACGAAATGCACTGAAGTCTGGGAAGCGCAGTGCTGATCCGTCGGGCTGCCCGCGACAGCCAGCGCTCTGCGTCCGCCGCGGCAGGGGACAGGTCTGAAAGCTGTCCTCTCGCTGCTGCGAAGCCAGCTCGCAGCACGGCTCACAGATGCCAGGCAGCTGAAACCTTGAAAAGCGCATATAATGTGGAACGACAGGGAAGAGATGCAGGCACTGAATAAAGCAGCTTTATTTATTTCACAACTAAACCATAGT